CCGCCCCCAGGCCAGCCAAAGGAGGAGGGAGGCGTCCCTCCTGGCCCCGCCCCCAGCGGCGTGCCACGTCCTCCCTCCTTCTCCAGACTTCCATTGGCTGATTTCAAATCTCGCGAGCCCATGGCAGGGCTGCCGTGGCAACCGCACCTGTTTAGGCCCGCCCTCGCGGGACCGATTGCGGAAGTGCTGGTTGAGCGCGCTGCGGAGTCCGGGCGCGGGGAGACCCGGGTGGGTCCCCTACACCCAGCCGGAGGGCTCCTGATAGCACCCCAACGTCCCGACGCGCGCCCCGGCCGCGGCGCTTCCTGCTACTGCCCTCCTCCTCCTCCTCAGCCCCCAGAAGCATCGGAGGATCTGGGAACCCTGCGCCGCCTCCCCTCGCCCCTTCCCCGACCCTCCCCTTCACACTCTCCCGTATTTCATCTGCTCTGGGCACGGAGACCGGGAGAGGCGGTGGGGGAAGCCGAGGGAGTGGGGGATCCAAGGGTGGAGGCTGATCAAGAAGAGAAATACTAGGTAGACCCCAGGAAGTGATGGATCCGCCAGGCCTGGCGCCCCCCGAGCCGGCCGGGCTGCGAAGCGGAGCGGGACAGAGCCATGGAGAACACAGATGACGTGACCTTTTGGGGGGAAAGGCAAGGTCCCCTCTGCCCAAAGAGGCTGCAACTGTGGCGGGGTAATAAAAGAGGAAGTTGAGGCCTTCAAGGCCACTCGAGTTTTGAGGAACTGAAATCGGAAATTCCCTGTGTGGGGCAACAATGAAATCTTGTGGGAACTTAGGGGAAATTAAGAAGCCCAACTACTTCCGCTTTCCTGTCCGAGGCACTACCAGTTGCCATCCTTTTGTTCTGACCTATGCACCAACCTCCTTACCAATTCCTGGCTGTTCTAGGGGATCATGGCCCCCCCATCATCCCCTGCCAACTCTAGACCCTCTTGTCTGTCCAGGCTGGTGAGAATCTTCAGGGGATGATGTCAGAACTTAGGGGATTGTGATGGTTAGGTAACCAGTGTGAGATGGGGGTGGGGTGGAGGGAGAGACATTTGAGGTGAACCTGAGGAAGCCAGGCCTGGTGGCACGTATCTGTAGTCCCAGCGACAGCGAGACTGAAGCGAGAGGATCACTTGAGTCCAGGAGTTTGAGACCATCCTGGGCATCATAGTGAGATTGCATCTCAAGAACTAAAAACGGACTGGGAAAGTGGCTCCGTGGTAGAGTGCTTGCCTTACATGCATGAGGCCCACCTAAACAGAAAAAGCCAGAAGTGGCGCTGTAGCTCAAGTGAGTAGAGTGCTAGCCTTGAGCTAAACATCTGAGGGACAGCGCCCAGGCTCAGAGTTCAAGTCCCAATGGCCTACAAAAAAAAGAATGGATGGATGGATGGATAGACAGACAGACAGACAGACAGACAGATAGATAGATAGATAGATAGATAGATAGATAGATAGATAGATAGATAGATAGATAGATAGATAGATAGAACTAAAAACAGTGAGAACATTCATTTATGAGGCTGAGGTATAGTTCAGTTCAAGTACGTAGTTTAGTTCTAGAATGCCTAGCATACTTGTGCTTGAGGCCTTAGTTTCAATGCCCAGCACCACAAGAAAACAAAATTAAATTTGAACTTGGGAATGTGAAAGCCTTCTGTCCAGTTTTCTGCCTCTGGAGAGAGATGGAAACCTGAAGGGCCAAGCACCTGTGTCAGGAAAGAAAGCAAGCTGACGGCTAAGAGCACAGAAGCAGAACAAGCCATGTATACATTGGTGAGACCTTGAGCAGGGAAGATGGGAGGTTTTGGGGTCACCTTTGGTATGATGGGCCCCTAACAGAGAATGGGCTTAATGAATTACTCCAATCCACCCAAGGTCCCAAGTCCCTCCCTAGTTTACTGCTGCTTTCCTGTAGGATTTCATTAATATTCTTTTCATCAATCATAATAAAACACAGAAGCCATAGATGACTTTTTTTTTTGGTGGGGGGAGGATGATTGATGCATTCAAAAGAGTATATTGATACTCCTGAGCAGAGACTGTCACCAGAGGCCATGTGCCAACTTGGTGACCAGAGGCCTGGGGCTAAGCCCTGTCCAGACTTCCTCAGTCTGCTTTAGAAGCCAAGTAATTTGCCTCCTACACAGTGTGGCTGAGGGTCCACCCCGGACATGTCATTTCTAGGCTGGTCCAGAGAAAGGCTTGAGGCAGAAGATGCTAAATAAGCTGGTTGTTCAGTTATCTGAATAGGAAGCTGTCTCCAGTAACATTCACCCTGACAGGCCATGGTTTTCGGTTTTCACATCTCCCCAGAGCCCTGGGTACTGGGAAAACCCAGCCCCAACAAATTGAAAACAAAATGTTCCGGGGTTATTTATAAATGAAAGCCCGACCCTGTCTGTTGTGGACGTCCACTCAACTTTTTCCAAGCAGCTCAAAGCACTGAAGAAGGGATCGCCCGCCCTCCTTGTAGGGAGATCTGAGGGGCCCGGAATTACTTGCCCCAATTCCTCAGTTTGGTGTCTAAATCTTATAATTCCTAATTTTCTTTCCTTTGGCTTATTTTTGTATTTTTTTGAATAGGTTACTTTCTTTTTGGTGGGAAAGTTTTTTGTGTATTTATTTTTATGTGAATGAGCCATTTCACTTTTGGTTTCTCTACTGTTTTACTTTCTGCTTCTTTGCCTGTGCAGATGAATACGATTCCAATCGTCTCAGAATCTGTGCCCATCCCCCGCTCCCAGCCATTTTGATTTTGTTTTCTTCAATTTGCAAACACACCTGCAAACGAAGACCCGAGACTACCCTGTGCCTGCAGAAGTGTCTTTTCTCATAGGCCTCTGGCTTAGTCCCTTAAGGCCTGGACTAAGGAAGTGTCACAGTGTCCCTAAAGACAGCTTCAAAAAAAAAAAAAGAGCAAGAAAAAAAGAGGGAGTTTTTTTTTTCTCCAAATATGGCAAAAGAATTGGGCTGGGAAAAGTGGAAAACACATAGGTTTCTTCCTGGGCTAAGCAGTGATTCCTTCTTTCCACTGAGGAAGTGTGCATACAAATGCAGACTTTTGTTTATGAAGTCAAACGATTTGACAGCAGATCACTGTTGCCAAAGCAAGGTAAAGAACCAGAGAGGCCTGTTCCCTGGCGTACTGGGGTCTCCAACGCTGGCCCCAGTCCCAGTTGCTTTCAAATACCGATGAGAACAAGCCTGAGGCCCCAGGCTTTTCAGTAACTCGCTGAAGAAAACCAGGCTGAATGGGAAGCTGAGATTTCAGGAATCTCAACACTGCCTTTTTCTGGCTCTGGCCTTCTAGCTGTGAGGTCAGGCAGGTGGAAGAGCAGAGCAGAGCTTCAGAGCTTCTTTGTGAGGCACAGGCTGGGGGGGAGGGGGGCTGTGCCCCCAGCTCACCAGCTCTCTGGCTCCCTTGCCAGCAGGCGTGTACCAAGGCACACAAGAGTACCAGGAATGTTGTACGTGCGTGCATGCAACCCCAGCACGTTACAGAGCAGAGACCCACACGTTCAATGGCCAGCTTGTAAACACTCATCACAGCCCTTAGAGCCTGGGGTCCTGCCCTGCAGGGGCTGCTAAAGCGGGGGATGTAGTGAGTGCAGGCACTGTAGTATGGATCGCCCCAGACTTAACTCCCCCCCCACACCTTTGAGCTTTAGGTCTTTGCTTGGCTAGATGGTCTATGGGAACCCCACAGGGAGTGCTTTGTTAAATAGCACACAAGTAGTAGTCCATCTTTAACAGTGATAACATCTTAGGGCCCTTGGCAAGGCCCTAATGAAGCGCACAGATGCAGCTGCCTGACTGGTCAACAGGTCTTGTGAACAGTTCGTGGGAGAGGCGTGGTGGCCTCCTCTGCCTTTCGGACGTCCCTCCAGGCACATAGCAGAGCTGAGAGCAGCCCTAGGATATTTTGTGGAACAGAAGAATGAATCACCAGGCACACGTGGCTCATGCCTATAATCCTAGTCACTTGTGAGGCTGAAATCTGAGGACTGCAGTTCAAAGCCAGCCCAAACAGGAAAAGTCACAGAGACATTTTTCTTGCTTGTCCTGGGGCTTGAACTCAAGGCCTGGGTACTGTCCCTGAGCCTGTTTGTGCTCAAGGCTAGCGCTCTGCTACTTCCTGCTTTTTCTGAATAGGTTTTTTTTTTTTTTTGTGGTCCATTGTGGGGCTTGAACTCGGGGCCTGGGCGCTGTTCCCGAGCTCTTTAGCTCAAGGCCAGTGCTCCACCACTTGTGCCACAGCGCACGTACCAGTTTTCTGGTGGTGCTTGCCTCTCATGCAGGGGGCCCTGGGTTCGATTCCTCAGCACCACATAAGCAGAAAAAGCGGGAAGTGGTGTAGTGGCTCAAGTGGTAGAGCGCTAGCCTTGAGCTGGAACAATGCCCAGGCGCAGAGTTCTGGCCCCGCGACTGACAAAAAAAAAAAAAAAATCCTTTAGGAGTTGGGGGGGGGCTGTCACAGCGGCCAGCTAGCAAGGAAATGGGGATCCCTAAAACAGCCACTGGCGGCAGCAAGGCGAAGCTTGGAAACAGAGAAGCCCAGAGTTTCCAGGCACACACCGAGAGACATGTCAGCCCCAGCCCCAGCAGAGAAGAGTCATGCTCTACCTGATGTGTATGTGCGTGTGCACATGTGCGTGCATGCGCTCGGGCCAGTACTGGGTCTTGAACACATGATCTTACATGCTCACGTAGCTGTTTTGCTTAATTTGAGTCACAGCTCCACTTGTGGCTTTTTGCTGGTTAAATGGAGATAAGAGCCTCTCCAGTTTGTCTGCTTGGGCTGGCTTCTGAACCATGATCCTCAGTTCTCAGG